TTTTCCCATCATCCTATTGCAAAATTGGTTATTAAATTTCCAGACCTGGATTCTTTTTAAGCAACAAGATACAATTCGTCCAATTTGCTCCTTTTTCAAAGTCTACACATCAGATAATATCAACTAGAATTACTGCAAGTGCTGTTATTTCCAGAGGTAATAGTCAGCTACCATCGTTTTCCATATCATTTAAAGAAAAACCATCTAAATATTTCACTAATAAATTTCAGTTGGACATTCCTTAGTCTGATACCATAGTTTTAGTTTCTTAAAATAAACTGTTTTGCATAAGCAACTAAATAAGATAGCAAGCAAATGCATATAATTTAAATAGATGAATAAATTCAGTAATTTTTTCATTTTTAAATATCACTTGACTGTAGGTGTGCTGAAGGGAAAACACCAGCTTCCTTGCCAGTGCTGTCACAGTGGGCTTACATTAGCAACCCTCAAAATCCAAAATATTTATTTATTTTATTCATTTATTTATTTTTATTTGTCAATTGCTTACAAGATAATAGGTATAAGTAAAAACATAGTTATGAATACATGGATACATATAAGAAAAATAAAAATAAAAAAATAAAACAAACAATAGGACAGGGACAGTAGGCACATTGGTGCACTTATGCACGCCCCCTACAGACCTCTTAGGAAAGGGATGAGGTCAATAGTAGACAGTCTAAGGTTAAAGTTTTTGGGGTTTGGGGAAGAAACCACAGAGTCAGGTAGAGTATTCCAGACATTGACCACTCTGTTGCTGAAGTCATATTTCCTGCAATCAAGTTTGGTGTGATTAACCTTGAGTTTGTATCTATTGTGTGCTCTTGTGTTGTTATGGTTGAAGCTGAAGTATTCACTGACAGGTACGACATTGCAAAGTATGATTTTATATACCATACCTAGATCGGTCCGAAGGCGGAGTAGTTGTAGGTTTTCTAGTCTGGTGGCATAAGGTATTCTACAACAAGTAAAAGAGTGGAGAACCCTTCTTGTGAAATATTTCTGGACTTTCTCAACTGTGTTAATATCAGATACGTAATGCGGGTTCCAGACCGATGAGCTGTATTCGAGTATTGGTCTAGCAAATGTTTTGTATGCTCTAGTTAGTAGTGTGATATTACCAGAGAAAAAGCTACATAGGATTAGGTTAACAACTCTTAATGCCTTTTTGGCTATGTAGTTACAGTGGGCTCTAGCACTTAGATCATTGGAGATGAGTATTCCAAGGTCCTTTACAGAGCTTGGATCATCAACAAGATCTTGACTATTCAGCTTGTATTTTATTTTCTGATTTTTTTTGTCAATATGTAAGACAGAGCATTTATTTGTTGAGATTTGAAGTTGCCATTTGTTTGATCATTCTGATACATAGTCAAGATCTTTTTGAAGGGTAGCAGTATTGTCTGTGGTATTGAACAGCTTTACATCATCAGTGAAAAGAACGCAGTTGCTCTAAATATGATCACAGAGGTCATTTATGTAGAGTATGAAGAGAGTTGGTCCGAGAACACTGCCTTGGGGGACACCACTATTGACAGGTACAGAATTTGGTAGGACACTCCCAATTTTGACCATTTGTTGTCTGTTTGACAGGAATGCTTCTATCCAGTTATGCAGTTGTCCAGAGATACCATAAGATTTTAGTTTTAGTAGTTTGTCGTGTACCACTGAATCAAAGGCTTTACAGAAGTCTATGTAGATTGCGTCTATTGCTTTGCCCTAATTGAGTTGTGTAGTCCATATGTTTTTGCAGTGTAAGAGTTGCAGATTACAGGATAGTTTTTTTCTGCAACCAAATTTTTATTGGAGAGTAGGTTGTTTGTCTCCAAGTTGAGGATAATGGATTGGTTAACAATTGATTCCATGACTTTACAGGTGACGCAGCATAAGGAGATTGGTTTGTAATTTTTAACTAGGCTGAGGTCTCCCTTTTGGAAGATGGGGATGACCGTGGCTTGTGACCATAGGTTAGGCAAGGAGCTGGTCCTGAAAGATTTTTCAAAGATTATGCTTAGAGGTTCGGCTATGGCAGTGGATAGCTTTTTTAAGAAGTAGGCACATATTCCATCCGGTCCAATAGATAGAGATGATTTTAGATTGCATAGTGCTTTTTCAACATTGTCTTCTGTAAAATCAATATGTATTAGATCATTGTAGTTGTCTGTGGTTCAGCTAGGAAATACTGGGCATGATCCATTGTTGTTTACAAATACTGAGCCGAAGAATGTGTTAAAGATGTTGGCTTTAATGGTGTCGTCATTGCAGTCTTTACCATAAGGTCCTATCAGGGGTGGGATGGACCCTGAGTCTTTCAGTTTGGTGTTTACAAAATTGTAAAAAGCGCGGGTGGAATTGGTGCATAGAAGGTTTTCCTCTTGTTTAATAAGATAATTGGTGCACTCAGTCTTTATCTGGTGGCATAAATTTTTGTATCGGCTTTTGAAGTTGGCAACGTGACCAGATTTGTTTTTCCGCCAGAGTGATCTCTGTTTGGATTGTAGTTTCCTTATTGTTATGGGTAATCTGTTCTTTTTTTTGGGGGGGGGGGAGTTGTTGTTGGTACATATAGTTTGATGACTCTTTTGACTTCAAGTAAAAATACGTTGTAATGGTCTTCAACAGTATTGCATCCAGGGAATAGAGATTGCCAATCAAGGGATGAGAGATCGTTGTCTGTAAGATCATAGTTGCCTTTTTTGAAGTTGTAATTGGGGATTACATCATTGTGATGATTTTTGTGTGGGCGTATGTTGAGACAGAAGTCAATCATATTGTGGTCACTGCTGGAAAAGGGTTCTTTCGTTTGTATTCCATAAATTGAATTCAAACTATTGCAGAAGATGAGATCGAGGCAGTTGTTTAGCCTAATGTCGTTGGTTACTAGTTGTTCCAGTCCCAGATTTGGAGCAGCATTGTAGAAGGTTGCGTGTATGGGTTCAGTTGTACATTCATTTAGGGTCCAGTCAATATGAAGTAGATTGAAGTCACCAAGAAAGAGAAAAGCGTGTGGGCAGGATGCTGCCCATGTTAGTAGTGTATTTAGTTTGTTTACACGTTCGATGTCATAATCAGGTGCTCTGTAACATAGTAAGAATCGAAATGTGATATTTAAGGATAGTTCACAGATGGTCTCAGGAAGAGCAAGCTCCCAGGTAATTTGGATGTTTTTTAGATGTAAGGACGTTTTATAGAAGATAGCAACACCACCTCCTCTACGAATTTCACGATCTGATCGGTAAACATGATAGTCTCTTACTGTGGTAATGGAATCAGGGAGAGATGCGTTGAGCCATGTTTCACAGACAAATATGATGTCGAATTTAGCCATATTCAGTAAGAGGAGAAATACAGGTATTTTATTCGCAAGGCTTCTTGCATTGAGTAGCTTGCATTTAAGGCCAGCAGTAGTTGGAATTGAGGTGGTTAGGGGCGTGCGTGCCTAGTCTTGGGTGATGGGAGAGAATTCATATGTAGCACCATTTCTGTGGAAATCTTTCACAAGGATAAAAAAATGTATCGATGTAAGTCAGGGGTGTCAAACTTGATTTTATTGATGGCTGCATCAGGATTGTGCTTGACCTCAGGCGGCCAGGTTGGGCATGGCCAGGTCGGATGTGGCCTGTTTGACATCACTCGTGTCGGAGGCGCCTGTGATGGCCAAGTGCTCCGGCAGTACCTCCCTCAGACCCTCTCTCACTCTCATTATAATTTCCTTCTTTCCTGCCTTCCCTCCCTTCCCTTATTTTACCTTCATTGCTCTTTTCCCATCTTTCCTTTTTTTTTGTCTTTCCTCTTTCCTTTTCTCTTTTCCTGTCCCTTCTTGCCTGCTCAAATGCAAAAAGGGAAACATTTCTCCTTTTGTTTTGTTTTAGTTTTGCTTGCCCACTGCCATCAAAAACAGAGCTTAGAAGGGCCTCATGTGGTCTTCCTAAGCTCCATTTTTGCTGGCAGAGGCACCGTGGGTTAGGGTCAGGGTTAGGGCAGATTTAAGCACCATATAGGGCACATCCGACCGGTGGGTCTTGAGTTTGACACCCCTGATGTAAGTGGTTATAGAAAGAATGCATAAAATCAAGGAAGCTCAAAGAGGAAAAACTGATTAAGCTGATTTACCCACACATTCCCAGGAATGCCTCCTGTCCTTTTATCCTTCTAAAGAATTTGTTTATCTAATGAAAAATAATGGCCTAAGCTCTAAATTAAAGAATGATATATGAAATAGATTCAGATGAAAACATTATGTGGAGATCCACATGTGGATGCAGACAATGCTTCTAACAAATCATGAAAAGGTGTATAAACTGTATAATTTTAAACTGAGAATACTTAATGAGCGCAGCAGCTGGAAAAGCATTATTTTAATACAATCATATGATTTGGTCCCTAACAGCAATAACCTTTTTTCCAAAAGTTTCATGTCAATATGAGGCAGCACCATACACAATATTTTGCAGAATCTACAGAATGGACAGAAAAATAATTTAAAAAAGCATTTAATGATATTTGAAGAGAGTGGATCAAGATCAGGAATCATTGCAATATTAAAGCAGAGAGATAAGGGGATAATGCTCTTAAAAACTTTGGTAGTGAAGATAAACATCTCATGTTACTGGATAATTTTGGAATTTATTGAGGAATTTGAATTTATTGAGTTTACATTGCTAGACTAAAAAAAGATTTTCCCCACTACAAGTTAGTTGTGGATAGGGATAAAGTGAAAAATGACCAAGCTTAAACAATAAAGCAAGAGAAGAGATGGTATGAGATCATCAAGAATCAGTGAGTTTTCACCTGAAGGATTCATTTTTTTCAATATTAAAATGAAAGGAGCAACAGAGTATTTACATGTTGAATATAAAAAGCAAAGAAGAAAGCTCTGTACTTGCTATATAAAACAGATGGGAAGTGCACAAGAAAAAAAGCCTTTAAAGAAAAAACAGTTGGTTTTGAACATGTTGAGCTTCAAAAGAAAAAAAGTCCACATGAGAATATTCTGTAAGCTGTTTTGAAGCAGAGAGGTAGAATCAAATGTCATCAGAAGAGATGGTTAAATCAGTCGAGTTTTGCATGTGTTCATAATTCCATGTGCTCATGCCCATTTGCCTGTGCTCATAATTCTATCCAGTTTCCTGACGTGTGTGTGTGTGTGCGCGCGTGTTTATGTACTCATAATTGCACATATTTTCTAAAAATGAATGTTTGCTTTCAATTACTTTATTTATTCATGTGTCATGCACATTTTTTAGTAAAGAATTGCATTAAAAATTGTCAGATTTCAAATTGTCAATGTTTATTCCTTTGTACACATTTGTATGCTGCTTACTCATACAAATATAGAAGCTGCTGCTGCTTTCATGTCAGAAACACCAAGGTGCTTCCAGGTGAAAAGAATTAGCCGATGACATCACTGTTGCCGAGATGAAGCCTGATTGGGGGCTCCTTTCATGTCCCCATTAATGTGCCCATCGAAGTAGTACCTATTTATCTACTTGCGTTGGCATGTTTTCGAGCTGCTAAGTGGAAAAAAAGCTGAAGCAAATAACAGGAATTTGCCCTGCCACACAGCAGCACTTAAGTCTCGATTCTGGGCTTGCTAATCGTCAACTCAGCATTCTACCCAAGTGAGCCACCACGCTCCCAAATACTGAAGCTTAGAATATATAAAACTAAGAACATAGATAAAACATCTATAGAAGCAACTTGCAATAAAAAAGATCCCCATCAATCATTCCAAAATGATCCTTAAGGCCATTCTATCAATCATATCTTATTATATTCATATTGGATAGATGGTGACCTTTTGGGCTTTGACTGGATGCCAGAGGAAGTGAGAAGATGTAAAGCTGTTCTCATTCCAATTGATTATTAGAAGTTTGGGAATGCTGCAGAAGTGACCTAAGAAGGCAGGTGAGATATCTGGAGAAAAAAAACCCAACCAGCCATTACAAACCTCTGAAGAATCTTCCCATATTCAATGAGTTGTAATAAAGCCGTGAGATACAGGGTGTATACTACAACAGACTGAGCAATTTGCTAGAAGAAAATGGGAGGGAGGAGACTATACCATTCCTCCTTCACTCCCAATGCTCATGACCATAATATTCTCATTCCCCATGGAGTTATGACAAACAGGACTTGCATGATGTTGAACATTCATATAATTTTGCTCTAAGATTACCCAGAATGTTTTATTTGGATCAATACTGAAAATTCCTGGAGGTAGTGATTAAGAAAATAAAAGGGGGGTGTAGGGGCTGGTAGCATCACAGCAACAAAACTCTTTTTAAAAGATATATACCTGAAGGAGCTTTTTAAACAATGTGATAAAAATGTTTTCCTATCAGATTCAGTTTGATTTTTTTCAAATCATGCTCTAGAACCACAAGATGATGAAATGGATCACTTCTGGATAGGTCCAGCACAGGACAGACCATTTCATGATTACAGAAGCTGTTGTTAAAAGTAGAGTGTATTGTCTCTACACAGAATACCCCAAAGATCTCTCTAAGATGGGAGTATAGCCAAGTTTCAAACAAAGAATTGTTATTTCACTGAAGATTCAGAATCGTCTAGAAGACCAAGAGTAGGTCTCTCTTAAAAACTTGACAGAAGAGGCAGTTGAAATCAGTTACTTAGTTATGACTTAATTTATTTTTAATTACCTTCATTCCAAATTCCAGACAGCTGGATTACAACAATAATCAGATCTGCACTGGATTCAAATAAAGGTTTTGAATTTTGTTGCAGTAATAGGTATATTTTCCATGGAACTATTTGAATGTCTTCAAGGCCATCAAGCTGACTCACTTACTTTGCTGACAACCTGCCTGCAAGCTTTTATGGGCTTCCTCCAGCACTTTTTATGAAATCTTCTGCTCCTCTAACTCGGCTAGACTTGATACTATCTATTAACTAAAGTTGGGACATGAATGGAGATTGCCTGAGATACATTATACAGTCGCAAACTTCAGGAGTATAGCATGATGAATAAGAGTATTATTGCTAAACATTAGCAAAAGAACACTATTTTCTGGAAATTTTGCTTGCATTGAGAATGGATATATCTTTCAAGCTGTATTTCTTTTTCCCTAATACCAATAACAGTTTTATGTTTTAAAAAATCATACACAATTAAGATCTTGGGGGGGTGGGGTGGATAAAAACATGGTTTAATGCAAACTAAAACTCCCAAAGCAATCAGTGTTAAAATTCATTCTGGGCATATCTCATCTGCATCTTTCTGTGAGAAATCAGACACCTAAGATGGTTTAGATAAATGGCTCAATTAATTGTACAGAAGTAACCCTCTTTGAGCTGAACCAGAGCTGTGAGCTCTTTATTAAAAGCACTATTCTGTAGTCCATAACCTCATTCCTTGACTCCTCTCTAGTTTCCAATTTAAACAAGTCCCTGTGCGGCATGTTCTAAAGGGCTTTGTCTCTCTGTCATTGTTAAGAGAGCTGAGGCATCCTGGAAGTGTGAAATCAGACCTCATGAGCTGAACGGTTCCCCAGGGAACACTGGACTGTGCAGAAGGTCAAAGTCATGGGCTGGACCATCTGAAAGCACCCTGATCACCCGTCTGTGACATAGCAAGCAGGGGAAGTGTGTGTGTGAGGAGACTATAATTGAACACATCTTAATTAAAACCCAGAGATAGCAAAAATAAACTGTTTCCTAGGCAGCCTGTCAAATGCAGGTTTCACTAATGAGTTCCAGTGTTTTAATTTCTTAACAAAAGTAAGACTCAGTTAGCAGTAGTAAAAACAAGGATTCGACATCATATTCCTGTTGTTTTGCAATAATCTTTCATCAACAATATTAATTAAAACATGAACACTGCATGAAAACACTAAATCATCAACACACTATTATTAAGCATACAAAAGAACAGGCAGCTGAAGAATTATTGCACATGATAATCAGCCATTATTAAAATGTTTTATAAAAACATTTTTGTTGTATTTTATGTTTAATAATCTATTTTTAAAACAATTTAAAATGCTACTTCTTAAACATCGTAAGCTGTGGGTTTGTCTGGATCAAATTTGTAAATATGAATTCAATTATTCCTTACTGGTAGCCTTCATGTAAAAGTTACAGAATATCAATTGCGTGAAGAGGGGAAAAAAGAGGAGAAAAAGATTAGTTCTTTTTTGATAACTCTATGGCAAGTTGGATCCCATAATTTTCTAATGTTTCTCAGGACAGTATCCATTTTAATTGACTGAAAATGCAGTTTTAGTAAATAGAAAACAAACTTTCTCTCCCATTCATTTAATGAATGATATTCATCAATTTTAAATCTTGTTGGTTACCAAGATTATTTCTTTCACTAGGAAGAGAATAAACATTATTATTAATAAAATCAAAGACAAGGATCCTATAGAATTGCTTTTACTGAAAGATTCCATAGCTTTTATTACATGATGGTGCCATGTCTAAAAATATGTCTGAAAAATATTTAAGGGCTAGAACTTTATTTTGGGCATGTCAGTCATACAAGCTGTGCTATATTATTAGAGTAAAAGGAATGAGAAGGTTTTCATAATAGTCACTACTATTACGTCACTACTGGAATGGAATTTGGAAAGTCATGAATAACTTCCTTTGAAATGTTAATAATAGCTATCAATTAATAGCATATAATAAGAGTAACAAAAATCATATATAAGTATGTCATAATAAGTGTATTGCTATATAAGTATAGCAATACCAAACATGGTTAATTCAGAATAATATTTATTATCAGTAGGTCTTAGTGTAATTCATGTGGTCATATAACTATAGGCATACACACACACACAAATCTTACTACTACTACAGCACAGTATCCGTGCATTCATGTCTACAAATTATATTTATACCAGTCTCTTTCATTGATAGTATAAATAGGACTAAAAAAGTAAACTCTCCTTTGAATCAGGAACAATTGGCAACAGTCAAGCCATACACATATCCAAAAGAATTGTGAATAGAGTTTACAGGTAGTCGTTGTTTAACAAACATTTGTTCAGCAACTGCTCAACTTCTGACAGTGCTAAATGAGTAGTAGTTACAACCAGCCCTCATACTTACAGCTAGCATGGTGTTGTCAAGCAGAAATCAGGTGTGGCTTGGTGCAACCAAAGAGACAGAAACTAGGTTCTCTCTCTTTAAAAATAAGTATTTATTCAGCTGAGCCAGGATTGATTCTTGGTGTCCCATAAGATTGGAAGAACCCTGAATGCAGTTTGAAGCAAGTATATACAGATTTCTTGTATCTTGGTGGCTTCCTAGTAGGAAGCAGGGGTATAGTAGATGAGGTATAGCAGTTACAAAAATACCTGTGCATGCCTCTTGTGGTTTTATCACAGGCTTAGCTCACCAGCTTTTGGTTTCTTATAGAACTTTCCACAAAGGGCCAGCTAAGGCCTAAACTTTATTTCTGCCATTTCAACATAAGAACCTTTTAACTAGCCATCAGAGTTATCAGAATTATGATCAACATAAAAACCCCTTTCATATTTTGACAAGTGCACACAAGTATGATCTGCAAAGACAGGGTAGGCAGAGACAGCATACGAGCTACATTTCTGATGTCTCATGGGACTGGTGTTAGGGCAGGCAGACATGATAAGAGGAAGACAATGTATGCAACAGAAGAAAAAGAAGAATATAAGGAAGATGAAAAAAAGGATAACCCGAAAAATCTCCCAGAGCCAACCCACCCAGCTAGCCAACTAGTAAGCCAAGAAGACAGTCCAGAGAAGAAGCCAGTATTAACATTTTGGGGTCTGTTCTCTACTACATATGGGTTGTACAGGACCAATAAATTGTGATCCTCACTAATCGTAATGTGAAAAGCCTGATTGCACTTATCCATTACCTCCCGTAAGGTACAGTTGACTTTCCAGGTGATGGCGCACCATAAATATATACCAAGTTTATATTTATTTTGAAGAATTAAAAGGTTGGAGGCAAGCCACTGCTCTGTGTTGGATACAAGACCCTAACTTTGCAATGATTTGTTTTTTTTATTATGGAGAATGGGCATCTTCCAACTATGAGTAACCTCTATGATTTGGTACACCTCAGCTTCCAGTGGGGCTGTTTCAATGACCTGCCCGAGTGCAAGTCAGGCGTATGTGTGCACAATTGGTAATGTTTAACATTTTTGCTCAGATCTGGATATTCTGAATATGTGTTGGTACACCAAACCCCAAAGATGGCCACTGAAGCTGTTTGTTGTTCTTCCATTTGTTTGGGGATGGGGTGTGCCATCATGTTCTAAAGCTTTCACATGGCCCGGTTGTACTGGGTGGCATTCTGGTGGAAGGTCTTCCTTATAGACCAGTGGTGGCTCACCTTTTTGGGCTCCTGTGCCAAAAATTGCACTTGTGTGCCAGCACCCAGAAGGCAATGTGCACAGGGCCCCCCACCCCGTGCATGTGTGCACAATCCTCCCCCTGCCCCCTTACCTGCACTGTGCATGCACATGCCACTCAGTTTATTTTGGGGCCTTTTTTGGTCTACCAGAGGCTGGAGGGAAACCTCTGCAGCGTTTGTAGGCTGAAATATGGGCCCGTTTTGTCACTTCCGGTATTTCCAGAAATATAGGAAGTGATGAAACGGGCCTGTTTTTCAGCCTACAATGACTGCAGAGGCTTCCCTCCAGCCTCTGGAAGGCCGAAAAAGGCCCCAAAATCAGTTGGGAGGCACGTGCATGTGCAGCGAGGTAAGTTTGCCTGGGGCTCAAGTGCCCGCACCAATGGCTCAAGTGCCCGCACAAATGGCTCTGCGTGCCACTTGTAGCATGCATGCTACAGGTTTGTCATCACGGTTATAGACCAACTCTCTATAAGCCTCGATGTTTGTTTCCCTCACTATACCCTCCTGCCCCCCCTCCCTTTGTAACTGAGTCACATGGGGAAAAAAGATAGAGTGCCTATGGCAAATTGCTGAGTGCCCGTAGGAAACCAGTGACTCCTTTGGTATTTTGACATGCGACTAAAGGGTGATGTTGTTTAAACAAAAGCTTCAGCCGAAGATCATCCTCAGCACGAGGGCTACAGTCCAATGATAACTGGAGTGCTCAGGAGGATCAGAAGTCTTCAAATGGGAATGGTGAATCAAGGTGCAAATGCCAGCAACTTTGACAACCGTATAGGACATGAGAAAGACAAGGAAGGGTCCTTTCCACTGTTCAGCTAGGGGACTGGAGTCAGTCAAGGATTTCACGAGCAATGAGTCAGCAGGAAGGAAGGAATGCAGTGGATGATCCAATCCCGGGTAATGGAGGGCCTGGACAGCTTGAGAAATGGAGGAGACATTTTGAGAAAGAGAGTGGATATAGTTCTGGACAGCTTGGTCCCCAAAGGCAAGAAGGGACGTGGAGGTAGAGGCTTGATAAAGATTTAACTCTTATAATGTAATTATGTTGTACATACAATAATACATTGAAGGCTCTCAGAACAAAATACTTCGGCAGCCATGTGATTGCTTTGTTTCACCTTTTCTCTCAAGAATTTGGGTTCTCAAAAGCCCAGATACAAATTTATTTATAAACAGAATATATGTATGTATGTGCGCGTGTATGTGTGTGTGTGTGTGTGTGTGTGTGTGTGTGTGTGTATATATATATTCATTCATTCATTCATTCATTCATTCTTAAGTTTTCGCGGGTACTTACATGTATGGCATTCAGCTTTGTTCGGGTATTTTTCCACGTCGTCGTAGTTGTGCTTTTAAAGTTGTAGCAACGTTTCGGCAGAATCTCATCTGCTACAGAAGCCTGATAAAACGTTGCTACAACTTTAAAAGCACAACTACAATGACGTGGGAAAATACCCGAACAAAGCTGAATGACATACATACATACATGCATACATACATACATACATACATCAGAATTCATCACTAAGCAAGAATAGAATAGAAGCCCAGCAAACTTCAGTTTTTTATTTGGTAGACTGTTGTTTTTGTAATGTATAATGTTATAAAATTAGTAAGTGGTTACTGATTAGCATAAAAATGGAAATAGTTCTTGCCTGTAACATCAGCTGCCATCAAGCCTTCTGCTCTGATGACCTTTACCTGGAGAAATCCCACATCCTTTATGTTTTGAAACATCTGCATTAGGTTCTAGAAACATACACAAAATTTAGGAAATTACACTGAAGTCATAAAAAAAGCAAAATATGAGGAGACCATTCCATCTTAAAGGTTCCAAGTTGCCCTGATGGCTTACATCACATATTTCTAATATATCCTAACTGTGAAGCTGCACTTGGGTCTGACTCAACGTTTTATTCTGGAACTGTCTTGCTTGGCAAAAAGGCTCATGGTCACAGCTTGGCAGGATTAGTCTTAGCTGTAGACAAAAAGAATCCAAAGGAAATATGTAGATGTTTCCACTGCAATACACAGATGTCAAAGCTTTTATATATGTATGGAGCCTGGCTTTAATTTCTAGGGTTCTTTTTCTTGGGTCAACTTTTCTGAGTGAGCAGGTATTTGACTGATGTCTTGATTGCCTTGGAAAGAATCTGAACTGTGCCCATCTAGTTCCATTGGTATGGAACCCACTGTTTCCTGCTATACCACTTTTATTCCTTAACATTAGTTAACATTCAGTAGAGAAAATATTCAGTTCTAAACCAAATACATAAATTAACAAGTCTAATTTTAAAATATATTCAATATTTATTGTTTATTTTAAATCATTATTTAATTGGAATAGTGTCCCATAATTTTATTAAATGATGACATCTTGGTCCTAAGGTATTTCTATTCTACAAAGCAGAGATTTCACAGGTTTTTGAGAAATAATTTAGAAAGTGGAATGTTTCTATGAGTTATCTGTAACAAAACTAAAATTATGCGCACACAAACGTATTTCTGTATTACTTAGCTTTATTCCCTACAGCTTCCTCATATTCTTCACAAAATAGTAATTATTTTAATTTGTTTATAAGTTTGTTAATAAGTTTTAATTGCATAAACACAGCATGTGTTCAAATTTCATATATTATTATGGTGTAAAACTATAGTTTTATAATTATTCTATGTAATCATTAGTTTATACAGTATAATTAAAATATTTTATAAAAGTGTGTTTTAAAAATAGTATTTATTTTTAAAAAATCAGGAAACAGGAGGTAAAGAATGAATTTCTAAACATTTTCACAGGTTAAATCCTATTAAAGTAACAAACCTAGATTTTAACAAATGTCTGAATTAATGCTCTTTTTCATTATGATGCAAATTTTAAATTCTTAATCATATTCTGTTTAACAAAAATGTTTTCTGCTTGAAAAAGTTGAAATCTTAACCATGTATTAGACAGGCCTATTTATAAATAAGAATGAGACTCAAAGCCCATAATATACATCTCAGAGATTAGAAACAATGTTCAGCTGAGACAATGTAGTTTATATAGCACATCTTCATATATCTCTAGCATTCTATAAGATCACTAATACTATATCTATTAACTTTTAACTTCATAATATTTGCCTATTAAAAATTTTCTTAATCAGAGAGATAACCTCACCTTCTATCTCCCTTTTTTTTCTTGATGTGGTTTAAAACTGGCTCTTAAAGAAAGCAACAGAAAAATGCTGTTTGTCATTCCTTATCATTTATTATAGTTCTCAAAAAGGTATTTTTTGTCAATCCTAGCATTTAGCACAGATATTTTCCATGCTACGTTGAACAAGGGAGGCATGGTGAAATTAAAAGTCTTTTTTGTGGTTTTGAAATTACATTTGTTTTGCATTTCCTGTTAATACAGAAGAAAAGCAAAAATCGACCTTTTCACCTATATGCGCATTCCGTTCATTTAAAAAGACCTGGCAATATTTCGTCCACTATTATTTGCCAGTGGGATAATTATAGTTTGAACTTTTAGATTTTGCTAGTCAGCTGATTTAGTGCAATTTACTGCGTTTCTGACAATCTCAGCCAATGACATACTGCAGATTATTGTAGGATTTTGTGAAAAGCAAATGACTTTAATACATTACTTTAAACATGCAACTTAAAGTAATGATTTATGAGATGATTATCAGTCATCTTATTTATGAAGACTGTTGGAGGCCTCAAAACCCAGATGGTATTGGAGGCTTCAAATTTCCATAGAACAGAAATCTATGATTTGCTGTGAATCCTTTCAGCCCTCAATAGATGGGAAAAAATTGAAATGCTCTGGAGATGAGTCCTCTTTATTTTTTTAATGAAAGGCTGTATAATATATTTTCTGTATAGCTGCAGCAGCTGTCAGCAAGAGCATTTCAGTTCAGCTCTATTATGGGAGAACCAATACCCTATCCTATGGCATCAAGATACACTGAGGGGCCAGCGCTGATTGACAGCTTGTCACCATGACGTCTTATTCCATCTCTGTTATGGAGAAAATTAATGTCACACCACCAGCCTTATGACTCGCTGTCATCTTATAACTGCTCACCTTTTATCAATGCTCTAAATAACATTTCAAGCCCCATCGTCTCACGGTGGACAATCCGGTCAAGGGACATTAAATCGGATGACTGTGAAATGTCATAATAAAAATGGAATGCTAACAACTTCTTCACTAAACTAGCTTCTCTGGTTTTTAAACTGTGACAAGGGGGAGCAGGGGTTCAGGATACCCGTTCTGAAAAGGTCACAGAATCTCTCTTTTGGTCTGCTACCCATTACGGCCCTCCTCCCATCCCAAAAGGAATTAATCTTTTCATACAATTGTGATAAAATGGTTCAAACGGTAATGCCTCTTTAATTTGTAGGGCTCTGATGTTCTGCTACAAATGGTTAAATGACAGTAATAGAGTCATTTTCCAAGACTATTTGATCTGATGGCAGGGTCAGTGCATTTACTCTTTTCAGTCTCAAAAATAGGGCAAAACACATTTTTAAATAGAAAGATCTCCTTCTCAA